ATATACACACACACACACACACACACATTTTTGTTTCTGCAAAGTGTGGTAGGATGATTAATAAAAGATTTTTTAAACCTAAAATAGATTCCATTAGTATAACATTTTGCAGGGAGAGAAAAATGGAGTTGTGGCATCTAGGAGTCAGAAACAATGCACTATATCCACCTGTTAAAAAACCTGTTCAAATTTGTTTTAAAAAGGACAATGGTGGATATTAAAACACTAGAGTCCATTGGACGCATTCGAAAAAGTGATGTAAATTTTATTTTAAAATGTCAATTTAGATATGTTGGAAATTATATTCTGTGATGGAAATTGCTAGCTTTTCACCAAAATCTATTCTCTCCATTATTGTAACTGAGATATAGTGTTTTGTTTTGGGAGGTACCAAAAGTTATACTGAGAGACTGAGTCTATCTTTGCCAGCAATTTATTTTATTTTTAAAAATATTTTTATTGATTTCAGAGAGGAAGGGAGAGGGAGAGAGAGATAGAAGCATCAATGATGAGAGAGAATCATGGATCGGCTGCCTCCTGCACGACCCACACTGGGGATCAAGCCCTCAACCCTGGTGTGTGCCCTGACTGGGAATTGAACCGTGACTTCCTGGTTCATAGGTCGACGCTCAGTCATTGAGCCACGCCGGCCAGGCATTTGCCAGCAATTTATTTAGCACAGGTTCACTGTGGGAATTATAATAGTTTCACAAGCCAATAGTATACAGGATAATATCTCTTAATAAACCAAATAAAAAAATAACATACCCCAAACAAATGACAGCGTAATCACACTATTGTTTCAGGCAAGGGGAGATGAAGGAATAAAGTTCAAGTTTTATATGAGATGTACCTTTTTATACGAGGCATTCTGGAAAGATGTGGCCAACCTGGAGCTGATTTCCAGCTGCCAGAGCCAAAGTAAACGTCCCCTCTGCTAGATCTGTTGCTAGGGAACGAAGACACCAGTGTCAGTGGCAGGCTGAGCTGCTCCAGGTCATTACTCCGGAGACGGCTGCACAGTCTGACACCTCGACCCACCAGAGAGTCACCTGGGCCCGGGGAGGGCCCTGTCTCCAGGGTCTCCGGAGGTTTTCAGGTTCGCGCAGAGCCGCCTCGCCCACACCAGAACCCTCAGCTCGCCCCACGGACCGTCAGTGTTCACTGTGTCAGCGTCCCCTTGTCGTCGCTGTTCTTCACGTGTCTGATCGGCCAGCCCCCGCGGGCCCCTCAGCAGCTGGGGGCTGAGCGCTTATCCGGCACAGCAGAGGCAGGAGGGCGGCCTCCTGGCACCACTGACTTCATTCTCCCAGCAGAGCCACCTTTCCCCTTTGTCATCCACACGTAGAGGACAGCAGCCTCACTGAAGTCGGCAACAAGGGGACTTGGAATCATCAGCCAATACTAAATATATGGATACCCAGCTAATTTCCCTTGAAACTAAATGTGACCATATGACTGAGCTCTAATCATTGGAATTGAAGCAAAATAATGAGTACAATCTATTGCTTAAGAGACATTTCCTGACTCTGGATGATCCCTCCCTCTCCTGTCCCACTGGCTAGAATGGATATGACTACAGTGACCTTGAAAATCTCCTACCAGCCCAGCCAGCGTGGCTCAGTGGTTGAGCATAGACCTATGAATCAGGAAGTCACGGTTCGATTCCCAGTCAGGGCACAGGCCCAGGTTGCAGGCTCGATCCCCAGTGTGGGGCGTGCAGGAGGCAGCCGATCCATGCTTCTCTCTCATCATTGATGTTTCTATCTCTCTCTCTTTCCCCCTTCCTCTCTGAAAGCAATAAAAACATGCTAAAAAGAAAAGAAAATCTATCAAAGATGGCAGATCTGCGTAGAGACCTAGAACCCTCAGTTCAGAATGTGACATGATAGAAGTAAAGGTGGTTTTTTAAGCCTGTACATTTTAGGATGCCTCTTTACTTTAGCATCCAGGCCTTCCTTAACTAATACAGGAATTGGTACCATGAAAGTGGAGTACTGCTATAACAAAAACCTACATTTTTTAACATTTGCTCAATGCCTAGGCAGCATATGATGAAGAAATAAATAGTGCAAGCTCGAAATCTGGGGACTCCGAAACAGCTGGTACAAATGTTACCTATGTTAACTTGGAAGGCAGACCATCTGCCTACCAAGCCCCCAGCATAGGGCAAAAGCCCGAAACCTAATGTGTAGGCTCCTCCTTGCTGCTGTAGCAGGTATTATAAGAAAAAGATGCGCTCAAGCAAGAAACAGCCAGTTTGCCAGCAGAGGTGGAAGGAAATAGAATCACATTCAAAGCCGCAAGAGCCTTACAGGGTTGGAAAATCCTACTGCTTCTGGACCCAAGAGATACATTTCTTATTCAATTCGTTATCAAACATTACGATGAACAATGGATCCAGATGGAGACATATCTCAGATTATGGTAATCATCTCTCTATTGTTTCAGATGGCAACAAGTGAGCTGACATTAAGAGATGAAAGGCATGGACACAATACGGAAGTAAAGAATAAAGCAGGCCTGAGAATTATGTCTAGAAAATTAACTTGGTTATAGATACTGGCATGTGAAACTGACTGGAAACAAACTAAAATAGATACCGCCTTTCCTATTTCATCAATTCCTTTTAATTTCCGTTTAATTGAGATACAGTTGACATTACCCCACTGTATAAGTTTAAGGTGTATAGCATAATGATTTGACATATATATTGTGAAGTGATTAACATAGTAAGTTAGTTAATATCTGTCATCTCATATCGATTTTAAAAAAGAAAAGAAACTTGGAACCATTACAGACCATGGCAGTCCAACGAGAGAATCCAGATGGCTGAACCAGAATGAAGTTTCAATCCTCTGGGCCCTTTTCGGACTAAACCGCCACCCAGTGTACCGGCCATTGTCTTGGAGTTGCCATTAGGGGAAGAAAGAAGCGTCATGCCTAGAAACGGTCAGGACGGAGTCCTGCGTTTTTAAAATAGGTCTGTAGTAACCCCATCTCTTTTGTCCTGATCATTCCCCAGGAGGTAGCTGAGAAGAGATGATTCTTTTGAGGTGACAACTGCATTTAGTGACCGAACTGCCTTATTAAGTGGTGTAGACCAGGAGGGGGTAAGGGAAATAGAGTCAGAAATCTTTTAAAGTCGATTTTTGAGGGTCAAACCCCACAATACTAGAGGCCTGTGGATGGTAGGTGAATGGAAAAACGATTGAATACCCTGACAATCAGCCCATTGTATGTGGCTTTTGCCACAAAAGAGACATTATTGTCAGCCTGCAAATGGTCCGGGCTGATCACATGACAGAGATTAGCTTCAAGGACCGGAGTGATTTGTTTGGACTCAGCTGATCAGACGGGAACTGCTGGACGGTAACTTGAAAAAATGTCAACAGCAGTGAGGCCCCCGTGATAGGCCTACAAGGGGCTCAAAGGTCCAATGTGGTCCATCTTCCAGGAACAGGTGGAGTCAATGCCCCCTGTCATGTGAACTCCCTCATTGGGAGACAAAGGGTCAGTGTCTGGCAGGAGTCCCAAGTCTGGCATGCAGCGGCAGCCTCTGCATCAGAAACATGAAGTTCTTTATTTTGTGCCCAGTATGTGAGGGTGGATGTGTTGCCATGTCTGGTCTAAGCAGCAGTGTTGATGATCCAGGCAGTGCAGGCTCAATTTGCAGCTTTATTTTCAGGTGATCTCGTCAGAGAACTGGCCTTTCCATGAGCATTTACATGAGTAACCCCGACAGTTTGATCAGAAGTCGTAATTGGTTTCCACAGCACATGGCCCCCAAGAGGGTGTCTTTATAGTTTTCCAAGTGGCAGAACAAGCAACTTGGCCGTTGACAACAGCCAATAAGTCAGTAAAAAAAAAAAATAACAAGCCCAGCTGTGGTGGCTCAGTGGGTTGAGCATCGTCCCATGAACCAAGAGGTCCTGGGTTCGATTCCCAGTCAGGGCACATGCCTGGGTTGCGGGCTTGATCCCCAGTGGGGGCGTGCAGGGGGCAGCCAATCAGTGAGTCTCTCTCATCATTGATGTTCTATCTCTCTCTCCCTCTCCCTTCCTCTCTGAAATCAATAAAAATATATTTAAAAAATAACAAGGTCCATCAACGGGAGTATTGGTCAGAGAGATGAGAATGGCCTGGAGTTCTGCCCACTGAGTGGAGTCATGTTCATGTTTGGTTCTGCAGAGTTGGTGGTGAGGTTGAATAGCTACAGCATTCCATGGGCACCCTTGGATTTCAGTTAGAACCATCAGTGAACCAGGCCCAGCCATTAGGGGAACTTCTGTGAATCAAGAGTCCCCTTGAGCCAGTGGCTTTGCTTCAGGCAACAGAGTGGGGGATAAATTATTCCCTCAAAGGGATGGATAGCTGTCACTTTTCCACATAAAATTGAGGTACTGCTTGGGCCAGGCTAGCTGCTTTCTTAATATACCATTTCCTTTTGACAAGCGAAGCTTATTGGGCTCATCTCACTGGGGGTCATGGAGTCATAGAATTTTCGTGTTTGTTTGTTTTTTAAATATGTTTTTATTGATTTGAGTGAGAGAGAGAGAGAGAGAGAAACATTGATGTGAGAAACATCTGTTGACTGCCTCCTGCATGCACCTTGACTGCAACCTGGGCATGTGCCCTGACCAGGAATTGAACTGGTGACCTTTCAGTGCATGGGGACAACACTCAACCAACTGAGCCACACCAGCCAGGGCTGGAGTCATGGAGTTTGAGTTGACCTATCCCCAAATAGGGACATCAGGCTGGAGAGTCACATGGCTTCCATGGGTCAATATTCAGTTTTTTGTGTGTTTTTTTAAATCCTCACCTAAAGATATTTTTCCATTGATTTTTAGACAGAGTGGAAGAGAGAGGAAGAGACACACAGAGAGAGAGAGAGAGAGAAACACCGATGTGAGAGAGACACATTGATTGGTTGCCTCCTGCATGCACTCCTACCAGGGCAAGGAGCATGCAACTGAGGTACATGCCCTGGACTGGAATAGAACCTGGGATCCTTCAGTCTGCAGGCTGACGCTCTATCCATTGAGCCAAACTAGCCAGGGCAGAAAATTAGTCTTTGTCCATTGCAGAGACTCTTAAACTTTAAGATGCATGGAAATCACATAGTTCAGATGTAGATCCCAATCCAACAAAGATAGGGGCCAGGGAGAGTGTAAAAATGGAAGAACTCTTACCATTTGCAAAGCGTGGAGGGACCTATAGAGTATTATGCTAAGTGAATAAGCCGGTCAGAGAAAGACAAGTATCACATGATCTCACTCATATGTGGAATCTAATGAACAAAATAAACTGATGAACAAAATACAGTGGGGCCTTGACTTACGAGTGTCCCGACTAACGAGTTTTTTGAGATACCAGCTGTCTCTCAGCCGATTTTTTGCATTGAGTTGATAGAGTAATTTGAGTTAACGGGCTCCTTAACGAGCTCGGTCTCGGAACGAATTAAACTCTTAAGTCAAGGCCCCACTGTAGATCCAGAGACTTGGAAGCATAGAACACACTGATGAATCTCAAAGGGAAGGCGTGGGTGGGTGGGAAGAGATCAACCAAAGAATGTGTATGCATATATGCATAACCCATGGACACAATAGGGAAAAAAGGGGACATATGTAATACTTTCAGCAATAAATATTTTTTAAAAATTTGCTATAAGCCTTTAGCTCCTGTTAGTCTTTTTTATTAGCCATCCAGGGCCATTGTATTGAGATATTACATTAGTTACCAACTCCGGTGCCTTTAAGTCCTTAGTCAGGGCTGTGATTTCCCTTTCTCTTCCTGGCATTCTTTAGCTTCTGGTGGACCACCAGAGAAGAGGCAGGGAGGTGGGTTAAGAAACTGTTTACACTTCTGCTATATACTGAATATTTGTGTGTGGTTCCCCCCCCCCCATTCATATATTGAAACTTAAGCCCCAATATGATGGTACTAGGACAGTGATGGCGAACCTTTTGAGCTCGGCGTGTCAGCATTTTGAAAAACCCTAACTTAACTCTGGTGCCGTGTCACATATAGAAATTTTTTGATCTTTGCAACCATAGTAAAACAAAGACTTATATTTTTGATATTTATTTTATATATTTAAATGCCATTTAACAAAGAAAAATCAACCAAAAAAATGAGTTCACGTGTCACCTCTGACACGCGTGTCATAGGTTCGCCATCACTGTACTAGGAGGTGGTGTTAGAAATGCCTGTCAACCGTGTCGCAGGAATGAGACAAACACTTGAAACTGGATTGGCAACGCAGATTTACTTCTGCAGAAGGGTGCATGCCAGCTGAAAGTCATGGGCAAAGCACATCGAATGGGAAGTCCATTCGGGTTTTATTCCCTGATGTGGTCTGCCCTGCCCCTCACTCTGACTCTGACTTGATTGGTCAGGGCTCAGAGCTCAGGTTCCCATTATTGTACGAGTGGCTAGTTCAGAGGAAGGGGAGGGGTAAGGCGGAGCCCAAGATGGCGGCCCCCTGAGAGTCTGAAGGTCATATCAATATCGCAGGACCTAAGATGGCAGCGAGCTCCTTTCTTTGACAGAAAAGATAACTGGTTCACTCTCACAGTGGTGATGAACTCCTTTAGCTTTTTCTTGTCTGGGAAACTATCTGTCCTTCAATTCTAAATGATAGCCTTGCTGGGTAGAGTAATCTTGGTTGTAGGTTCTTGCTTTCCATCTCTGAATATGTTGTGCCAATTCCTTCTGGCCTGCAAAGTTTCTGTTGAGAAATCAGCTGACAGTCAAATGAGAACAACCTTTCAAGTAACTAACTGCTTTTCTCTTGCTGCCTTTAAGATTCTCTCTTTGTCTTTACCTTGGCATTTTCATTATGATGTGTCTTGGTGTGGGCCTCTTTGGGTTCACCTTGTTTGAGACTCTGTGCTTCCTGGGCTTGTATGTCTATTCCCTTTGCCAAGTTAGGGGAGTTTTCTGTCCTTATTCCTTCAAATAAGTTTTTAATTCTTTGCTCTCTCTCTTCTCCTCTGGCACCCCTATGATAAAGATGTTGTTATGCTTGATGTTGTCCCAGAGGCTCATTCAGCTGCAGGGGGAGCTGCCTTGGTGGAAGGCCCTGTGATCCTCCAGAACATGGGAGGATAGGCAGTCTTAGGAGGAGCTGCCCCAGGGCCAGTTCTCATCTGCCTCTCTATCTTGAGGGAGGCTACCAGCGAGACAGTTTCTTATCACCTCCCTGGCTCCAGTGAAGTATGGTACATTCCACCTTGCCTCCTCCCCCTTAGGGCAGAGCTGCAGGCTATAAAACTACTTGGCTGCAGTGCAGAAATGGCTCCATGACTCATGATGCCTGTCTTTTGGCTTCTTTTGTTTTAATGTCCTACAGGACAAGGGACTCCGGGAGCTGAGACCATGGTGGTCTTTCTTTTCAAACTATCTATGTAAGGAATAAACCGTCTGAATCGATCTGGGCTTTGTTGTCTTTCCAGAAAATCCATGTGCCTGATTCTCAGATTCTCGCAGTGCGATGTAAAGAGGTCCAGGCGACACCTGCGCATGCAGCGGGTTGTGTTTCAGGAGAGAAACTGAGCTCAGAGAATCTGGATCTTCATAATGGGCAGAAGCCAGACTTAAAATTACTGCAGAGCGAGTGTGCCTGCCCTTTGCTTCAGATATAAACATTATCTGTATTATACTGGACAGTGAGCATGCCTGCCCTTTTCTTTGGAAGGAGACAGTGTCCCTTCAAGGATGTATTCTATAAACCCTCTTATAAAGATAGTCCAGAACAAAGTACAGTCAGTGGCTCACTTGTGAAATACACAGAAACATGAGCAACCTATGGGAACTTTCTCCCAACAAAGACTACATATTATAAAATACCATTTAGATTAGTTATCATCTAAATATATATATATTATTGATTTCAGAGAAGAAGGGAGAGGGGGAGAGAGAGAGAAACATTAATGACAAGAGAGAATCATTGATAAGCTGCCTCCTGCATGCCCCTCACTGGGGATAGAGTCCACAACCTGGGCATGTGCCCTGACCAGGAATCGAACTAGAATTGAACCATGACCTCCGGGTTCTTAGGTCGACACTCAACCGCTGAGCTGCGCCAGTCAGTCTTTTATAAACATTTGTCATTTAAAAAAATGAACCTGGTTTAGGATTATTGAACAAATGGCTATTATAAATGTCACCTCTGGTAGACATTAGAGTTGAATTCTGGGAATATGAAATAAGACCAAGCCAATATGATTTACTGAGGCAAATTTAGTTCTATGACTTGAAATAAATTTTATAAATGTAAGTAAATAAATAAAAGTAGGACCTTAAAAATGCTTGCACTCTAGAAGAAAAGGGGTCATGATGTTAAAACCCAGTATGCTATGGTCATTTGCATGTGGATTAAATGGGTACCAAGACTGTGAGGAGGGACACAGGTTGCTTGAAGAAGCTTCCAGAATCAAGGATCCTACTGCTGGAAAAGAACATACCTAAGTAGCTTTCAAAAACAGTATTTTGACTAAAAATTATACTTGGATTTTCAACTGTGCAGGCAGTTGCACCCCTAACCTCCATGTTGTTTAAAGGTCGGCTGTATATCCAGCATGCAAGTCCTTTGTTACCCAGATATATTATGAATATTTTCTCTTGGTCTGTGGCTTTTAATTTTTATTTTCTTAATACTACCTTTTGAAAAGCAGATGTTTTAATTTTTATTACGTCCATTTTTTTTCAACGATTTTCCATTGTGGCTGGTGTCTTGTGTTTGCTGAGAAATATTTGTTGATCTTAAAACTGAGAAGATTTTCTCGAATTCTTTTTCCTGACGTTTCAGCTTTAATGTTAAAGGCTTTGAGCTCTTTCAAGTTAATTTTTGTGGATGGTATCAACTAAAGGTCAAGGTTCACCTTTTCCCACCTATCTTCTTACCCTCTACCCTTCTTAGGTTCATTGGCTGGACCCTGTAAATTAGACTAACTAAAGACAGATGAAGAAGGGAAAGCAAGCAGGCATTGATTAGCGTGTGTATTACCTGTCCACATGGGAGCACTCAGAGATGAGTAACTCCAAAGGGTGGTGAGAACTTGGGCTTGTCCAGCATCTTAACAAAGAACAGTACATTTCCAGAGAAGTAACAAAACAAAGGCAAAGGACTCTGAGTTTCTAGGGTGGCAAATTGTGGGAAGGCAAATATATGGCGGCAACCTATACTGGAAGAGAAGATCTAGTTAGTATAGTTTGCTGTGTAGATTCCTTGGTGATATGTCTGGGCTGATAAGGATCTGGAGTTGTCTCCAGTGATTAAGGGGGTGGGGACACTCAGGTACAAATATATGTCCTGCTCTTAGGCAAACAGGGGAGGGCAGAGAGCTCTTCTTGTATTTGCTTCTTCTCAATTGCCTTTCATTTACGTTATTTTTATGCCACAATGGCATATTCTGCTATTTTTCAGTGCTTAGTGTTGATATTATAATTGCCCTTTACATATTTTATTCCCTGCACGTCCTCCTGAGGTCCGCAAGGGTATCTCTAGTACCTACTTCCGTATCTGAAACACAGTTGATGCTGAATTGAACTTTAGTTTAAAGTGATTGCACTTCACTCTTGCCCCACAAATGCCAGAAAATGAGTGTCCAAAGAAAACGATTCTGTCAGGATCTAGAGGCCATGGTCCCTCATCCACTCTTTTATTCATACTGTTTTCAATTTGTATCGCATTTGTGTGAGCAAGAATTCATAGCTAATCTCTGACAAACTGATTTATATTGCGGCAAATTGTAGCCCCACTCTGAGATGATTTGCATTTGAAAGTGAAGGCTGGAAAGGAGAATTCCTTTTGTCAAAGAGGAATCCCAAGCATCTGTTCCTGGCCAAGGAGGGGAATTTTTTTGAAGGGGCCAGAAACTGTTTTGGGGGAGCAACCACCAAATCATGCCATAGAAGGAAGTGATTTTATTTTAGTCATATAACTAGCAAGAACTATCCGGAAGACTCGAACAGAGTCCTTACGGTGGCGGCCAGAATTCGGAGAGACGAGGAGAATGAATGCACTAGCAGTTCAAGAGTTAAAGAGAAATGATGCTTCTGCCAGCAGTTTCTGGGATTCTGTCCAAACAGCATGCTGTCAGCAGCATCAGCCAGCAGGAACGCATAATCTTCCACCCTTTGGTTTTAGTGGGTAATATTAGCTAAGAAAACACTCCGGGTTTTTGATGTTCATATGCTGTAACTCACTCACTTCAGGCATGCTCCTTTCTCCAATAGTTACCT